TCACATGGAATTGGCCACAAATTTATCCAGGGAGTTCACCTGTGAGATGTGAGATGTAGGATCTGGTACTGGTTGTGTAGATTATCGCGCTTTACTAAACCCACTTGTTAAAGCACACTCTTAGGCCACATTGAAGGAAACGAGAGCACAAAATTGTGTGAATAAGTGGATGGGCCATATGAAGTAGGTTTGAGAGAAAGGCATGCGGCGCAAGAGGGTATAACAAAAAATAGAGGCGAGGTATGATGCCACAACGGTTGAACAGAAAATCGGTCAAGGGGATTACCTTCAGTTATCACTGATAAGTTGTAACTGTGCTTGCGATAGCGCCTCTCATTGACAGTGCTGTCGAAACGTTTGGGAATGTACCCAGCCACTGCTGGAAATCACGAATACTATGGCAGAGAACACAGGACTAGATACGTTCCATAAGGTCTCCATGATGCTCCGACCAAGATGCGAAAACAAGGTCGAACCAACACTATTAAGGTAAAGGAGACTGCGACCGAACAGAAGACCACATCATCTTGGTCTTTATATCTATGATTTTTATATTTATATTTTCTATGCACACTTATTTTCCACTCAATAAATGAAAACTTATATGGTTGTACTTATTTTTGCCTGAGCTCCACTAATGGTTTTGATTTAATGATAATTATAGTGATTGTGTCCAAGATGCTCTTTGGACTTTTATTTACTGAGAGCTTATTAGCTCCTTGCTTTGGTGCATCTAAATAACTAAGATTAATTTTGTTACTCGCCTTTACTAGTATTATAAACATCACTAGTTCTATAGTTTTTCTTTAAAGTGAGTTTAGATCCCAATCTAATTGGTACCTCTTGTATCTATTCATTGTTGGCTTCTCTTAAACGATTTCCATCCACATCTGTTTACTTATCTTTCTCCTCATTATTTTCATCATTTCATATTTTTTCTATTCTTTTTATGATCCTTATTATGAGCTAAGTTTTCTTCTTTAATTTTCTCATTTTTTATGATTCCCTGTTATCCAACTGACTTCTTTTTGCTTACTACTAGCTACGCATCCCCATTCAGTTGCAAATAATGTTTTCACTGCATCGTTTGGAACTAAAACTGGCTTTCCTGCCCCAACCAATGGGATGCGAAATATGCCACAAGATGAGGGCCTCCTATATTACTCGAATTTTCTGACATTCGATATTTGTTTGTAATATCTAAAAGACTTTTATTTGCCAGCTTATCACAAAGCCTCGACTTTGAATAATTAATCCACCATTTAAAAAAGATTTTGTTCCATAGGTCTTATACTATATCATCTTTAGTATTTTGCAAGTCAGGCCTTACTTGGTACTTTGCCAAACTTCCTGCGTCTGATTAATATTTTCTTACATATTCCAAAATAATTTTGTTTAAAGTAGTTTTGGCATAGGGTAATTTTTTCGTTCCGATGTTGAAAGCCTTGGAGTTCTTTGATTTAGGCGGGGTTCTCTGGGTTTTTTTAATGAAAATCATCGTTGATATGTGATTACAGCTGTCCTTTGCCTTATCTTGACGGGATGAATTTACAATCCTCAGATGGGACATGGTATATTACTCATAAGTTCTCGTTTTTTGGAGAATCCGAGTAGTTATATGCTTGCCATTCATTTATAACAAAATATTGGATATCTATAAACTCTATTTTGGCACATGAAGCAGCTTCTTACTTCGTATTCTATTGAAGAGGAAATAAGGTGTTTAATATCCTTTTTTCGATGCTCATAATCAATCAGAAATTTGTCTTAACTTCTTTGCAAGTCTGCATTTCCTGAGCCTTTTTACAATATGATTTAGAAATTAGCAAGTTCTCAAGGGTGATGAATAAGTCAAAATCAGCGCCCCGATTAATTTCTGTTTACCTCTTTTTTTTATTGAAATAATCCTGAAGCTGAGGCAGACAAATTTTAAGTTTATTTTAATATGTAATGATTGCATGTAGGCTGCTAAGCCCACACCATTTTTGTATCTCATTTTTGTATCCCATATTTCTAGGACTTATTGTTGCCTGACAATGCTTTCTTTAAAATCAGCAATTGAGACAGTGCAAAGGTTTTAATGGGTCACATCAGAGGCTTTTTATCTGTAGCGCTCAGAAAATCTCCTTTCCAGACGCTATTAATTTGGATTTGAGAATGTACAAACTATTTACAATAGCCCACTTTTCGCTAGAATCATAGTTTCCCAGTGAACTGCTTGACCTTCTTTATTCAAAACTAGGTTTGCAAGTCATTTCATTTTATAGTTACTTTAGTTCAATGTATTAAAAGGGGAAATCGTTTATTCTGATTTTTGTCCTTAGATTGTGTCAGGAGAAGTGTGATTTAAATGATACTGGTGTACGAAGCTGCTCAGAAACTCATCTATTGTTCTCATCCAGACTATGCGCTTTAATATTGGACTCCTTTATTACCCAATGGTTCCATCATATGGTAGGGTCTTATGGTATTTCTTGTTTGGTCAGCACCCCAGTTTCGAAGTTAGAGATTAATTTAAAATGCTTTTCTTCACTTAAATTGCAAAATTGCTCTTTTTTACAGCGTCAGCTTATTGATCCAGAGTATCTTTTATTTTATTAAATATAACTATCCCTCTGGATTTTACAAAACAATGTGCAAGCACTTATTTGTACTTAATTGGAAAGACCAAGCCCTCTTACTGTGTTTATTTCAGATTACTCATCGTGACCTGTAAGCACAATGCAAACGATGTAGTTCCTTTTAGGTTGGTTTTCATTTTAGGCAATATGATAAATACCCAAAAATAAACTTCTTCATAAAATTGATTTTTTTATACTAGTGTTTAAGCAGGCGCTACTGCATAAAGGAAAGCTGTTTTTCAACTAATTCCTTAATAGTTTGGTTGACTCGTTTTTTCATACAGAAGGAATATTTGGTTGGAAGGGGTTCGTGAATTTGCATAGCCAAAAACCGAGGTAGTGAAGACTGTTGGATTGTGCGATAAAGTCTTCGGCCTATCGCCCTGCGACTCCGATAAATCGTGTCATGTGATAGGAGTCTTCAGAGCGAAAAACCATATTTTATGTAAAATCGTACCAGTTATTATCCATCAGGGGTAAGAGATAGTTAATTTTCAATCCTTATAAAATGAATGAGAGGGAATGGTTATTTGAGACAGGAAAGACAAATAGACCACTCTACTCGGTCCTTGTCGTTATCTTTCTGTCAACTTTCAAGAATAGTAGATGAATTATTGAAAAATTGTAACATCAGAATCAAGTATATGAAAAAAAGAACACTCTTCTCCATCATACTTTATTTTAAAGGATTTTCGGATCCTCCTTTTATACTAGAATATTGCAAGGTTTTTTAATCATATTGTAATGTTTTTCGAGGTAAGCGAAACATACCGACCCCTCCAGAAGTGATTCTCTGAACACAAAATTGCCTACAAATGTCTATGGGTCTAGAAAATTTTAACTAGCTGAACACACATAAAGCAGAACAGGTAGTATAATGCTCCCAAACACCAAGCTTCAAAGGCTACGAGGAATTGAAATCTATGACTAAGATTGGGAAGTCCATATAAATAAAGAAAATAGCCAACATCCTGGATAGAAGCAACGAGTATGGCAAGTTGAGTTCGAATTATTTATGGGTGTTCTATAGGCTTATTGAGAGATGGAGATAGAGAGAGAAAGAAAGCGCAGGAATAATCTCTGATCAAGAGAAACAGGCTTGAATAGCCTCGAATATGGTTAGTTGCTTTATATATCATATGATTTGAACATTCTATACATACACTATGCAATATTACGTGCCTAAACATGCGTCATTTGGAAGAGGATCTAAAACTACTCGTGGTGATGTAATATGATCAATGTCTTTTCTTTTCAGATACTCCCTCAACTGCCATCACTATATCGACCTCCAAATCCTGGGCTTGGCTTCATCGCTTATCTCTTTGTCTTCGTATCCTGGGTGCTTTCGTAAATCGCCACCCTCTGCCGCGTTTTGTCCTTGATAGTCTAAAAGCACAGTATCCGAACCATTTGGTTGCTTGTCATCGATTGATGGTGCCGTCAACTAGCAGTCCTGAGGTCGATTATGCTAACCCTGATATCTTTGGGCCCATTGAAGATGCTCAGTTGGTTGAATGGGTCAGAGAACGACCAGAGGACTGGGAGGTGAAGCGCCCTTTCTTAGTATCCCTCATTTTCTATGACTAATCGATAAATATCTATTATTTTTTAAGAATTGTTTTTTGAGCATATTTTTCATGACCCATGATGAAATAAATACAAAATTTTGTAATGAATTTTACCTTATATCATCAAAAAATGTCATCCTAATCAGAATAGGCTGTAGTTTTGGTCCCTTAGGCTTTATGGAAGATACTATTAGCTTAATAAAGAGTTAAAAAAATTACACAAATTAGTTGGAACTGGATATTGAGAAGACTACCTTTTTACGACCCGAGTATGCCTTTAGGCACTCTTCAAAAGATATAAGAACTTGTAAGAAAGGAAGGTATTTGAACATTTTGAAGGAAATTGAATACTATTTGATTTTGCCTATCTTTATTAAATCATAGGTATGAAGACCAGGATGGTGTGGCCTTTTTTATGGTCACTATCCCCTTCCGTTTTGTAGAAGTTGTTTGACTTTGGTTTCGCAATTTGGTTACATTAGCCGGAAGACACAACTCGTCAAAGAGACAAGTGAAGTCAATTCCTTAACCAACATTCTGTCGAGACGGTTATGCTATCACTCCTCGTTTTATCCTGGTTCCTCTGTCCATTTCCTACCCTCTAGTCTCGCCCTCGTCCTATCACAACTTCTGACATGTTTATCTTCCACAAGAGATGCTCCCTTTTGTCGCATTCACCGTAACGTCATCACATCTGCTGTTTGCCTTGTTCCACTCCATTTCGAGTGGCTGATCCGACTTGGGCCTCCTGTACGGATCTGCCTCATGGGCCCATATATCTATTTCTGATCTTTCTGGTTGACCGATTTCATTCGGTTCCAGCCCCAGTGCATATTTCCTCCATACACTATTTCTCAAGTCTTCAGTAGCACGTATAATATCGTCTCATCTGCAGCGGGCTTAGACACTGATCCCCATGCTTGCGAATATTAGGCGTTTCCTTCACGCGTTATCTCCTTGCTCAAACCCTTACCGATCTGTGCACTTTTATCTTTGGTCGCATGCCTCCTCTCGAGTGGATTTTTAGTTAATTTGGCAATAAGGCCGAGTTTATTTGACGGTTATGATTATCCGTCTTCCCATTCACGTGACCGTCAGACCATCAAACTTGTCGTTATTTATTCAAGCTAACTACGCTCAAAGAGAACGTCTTCGCTTTATTTCTGAAACTCCCTCATCCTCTTCTACTTTGTGATCCCTTTTCTCTCGGTTTACGATAGATCCTTAGTCCAGGCGTATCCTTTTTGCTTGTCTTGTTGTATCCTTGTCTTCTCTGCGTCTGATTTGCCAATAGGCGAAGTTATCGCTAACTCTGCTTTCTTTCAAGCCCTTGTTTACTAAATTTTTCTCCCCAATTATGTCAATGGCTTCCTTAATCTTCCATTTCTTTGTGCCTTCACCGTATGGGATACTTCTTTTTGTTGCCTTCCAAGTGATCTTGTATTCAGTCTGCGAATTGTTCCGCTATATCTGATCTTTCAGTATTCATTTTCCTGCAGGGCATTTGATGTTTTTCGATTATCATTCTGATTTTTCCCAGTTTCCAAGGCAACGACATCTACTGATCAGTGCGACGAATTGAACAAGCCGGTGAATTTATCCTCACTTCTTATTTATCCTAAAACCAATACGCTCCTGGGGAAAGGACCAAACTTTTCTAATCAAAATGGCAGGAATCTTTTAGAAGAAATTCTGCTAAAGCTCATCAACTTCTCCCACAAGTTCCCAGTGGAGGCAACACGAAAAATGGAAATGGAAATAATCCATAGAATCTTGACACATTATAAAACAACACACATTAACAGATTTGCGAGGATACGAAGAACCCTAGAAAAGAATGAACAATTGGTCCTTCAGGCTGACAGAGAAGAAGCGACAGTCGTAATGGACAGAAAATAATATTCCGAGAAAATAAAATGTATACTACAAGGCAAGACAACACAAGGATCTGGACAGGAGACTAGAGCAGGATCAGTCACTTGAAAAGGAGGGGAGCAAAACAAGCAGGTGTGATGACTCCACGGTAAATTTGCCAAAATGGTACATCTCTTATTTAATATAACCATGTATCGTGTACTAAAGAAGGATCCAATTATAAAACGAAATGGAATCTTACTGGACGTGCCGAACAATATGCATAGGAACGGGGAGATCAACGGATGGACAATAAATTCACTAATAAAAAAGGATGCACAATCAATAACAGCCTACGGGTTCAATAGAATATATATATATATATATATGATGGATACTGGGAAAAAATCAGCATGTGAATCAACGAACATCACCGGCCGTGCAGGAAAATGGATACTGAAAGATCAGATATAGAGGAACACATCGCAGAGATTGAACACAAATCAATTGGAAAGTAACAGAAAGAAGGGCCTAATACAGTGAAAACACAAAGAAACGGAAACAAAGGAGGCCATTGACATCCTTTGGGGAAAAAATTTAATAAACAGGAAATTGGAAGAAGTCAGAGTCAGTGATAACTTTGCCTATTGCTTAATCAAACTCGAATAAAACAGGGATTTAGTAAGGCAAACAAAAAGGAGACGCATGGATCAAGGATCTATCGTAAACCAGAAGACAGAGATCGCAGGGAAGAAGAAAGTGACGAGGTTTCGGAAATGGAGCGAAGACATTCAGTGGGAGTAGTCAGCTAGAATAGACAACTACAACTTGGGGGCCCGGTGTTTCACGCAACTAGGGAGAGGGATTTGGTCACGGAAATCAAGCATTGTGACCAAGTTGGCTAATAATCCACTTGAGATGTAGTAGGCGACCAGAGATGGATGTCCACAGTTTGCTCAGGGTACACGGGCTTAATCGAGGAGATGATGCGTGAAGATAAGGCCTAATATCCGCAGGCATGGGAATCAGAGCCGAAGCGCTCTGAAGATGAAGCAACTTTGTACATGCTAGTGAAGGCCTGAGAAAAAGCATCTGGAGTACAAGTATGCTGGGGCTGAAACCGAGTGAAATTGATCAACCAGAAAGAGAAGAAACGGACCTACAGGCCAATGAGACAAATCCAAACAGGAGAGTAGGATCAGCCACTCGAAAGGGAGGGGAGCAAGGCAAGCAGGTGTGAAGACGCCAAGGTAAATTCGCCAAAAGGACACATCTTTTGTGGAATAGAAACATGTCAGCAGTTGTGATAGGACGAGAGCGAGACTGCATGGTAGGAAATGGATAGAGGGACGAGAACAAAACGAGCAGTGATAGCATAACCGTCTCGACAGAAGTCGGTCAAGGGATTGATATCACTTGCCTCTGACGAGTTGCAGCTTGCTTGCTGAGATTGGCAAGATTCACTTATGATAGCGTCTATGATGCCGATTAAATGTCTCAGAATGTTCAAGTCCACGGTCCGACTCGGGAAATGATCATGCATACTACCGACTCCGAGCAAGGTGCGATCCTCTACGTCTTCCTGCCATTATGACCAAGTTGCGAAATCAATGTCAAACGACTTCTATCCTTGTAGATATGAATAATAACTGGGTTTCGTTGAATCTCTTGAGGTAGCGTTATTGTTGGGACTTTCATTTCCTATGAAAGTGTATGAAAAAGATATTCGTAGGATGATCTCAGAAAAGGATGATAAATCTCGTACTGTAGCCGCTTGATTTTTATTCTTCAATCTCAGCGTCGTATAAAAACCAAACAGCTACAATACAACCCGATTCAATCGTTCTCTTCTGGTGAGATCAATCTACAATCTCTTCTTCATACACCTTCATACAAATGAACTCCCAACAACAATTTCTATCTTCCTTAAAGTCTACCTCTATCCAATAATATGTTCACGTGTTCATTCTTATTGCGATCCACACATTCTGTGCCAATCAAAAAACGAATTACTTTTGCTTTTAAGACAAGTTAATTCTGCCATTTTATTTGCTCTTTATTTTTTATTTCGTTAATTTGTCCATATAAATGCAAGGATTTTCATCATTCAATACTATCCTTAACATTTGTTCTCCTATAGAGCTGCTGGCCTTTTGGCAAGAACCAGATATGGGCCTGGGGTCACAATCACCGGGGTCAGCTAGGCGGCGTAGGTGGTGTTAAAGTGAAGACGCCCACTAATGTAGAGAGACTTGGAGAATTGCAGCCACTTCAGGTTATTGGAGGAGAACAAAGCCTCTTTGTTGTTACAAATGATGGAGAAGTCTACGCTTCAGGTTCGTATACAGCACTGGACAGTATTTCATAATAAGTTTGTATTTCAGAGCGTTGTTACTTCTTCATATCGCGAAATTATGGATTATTTATCAGGCATTGTGGGAGCATATTTTTAGCTAGCTAGTCAATTTTTTCTATATTCCCAGAGTAGGTATGCCGATTTGTATATCAATTTGCAAGCTACCAGCTCCCTTTAAAATAATCTTTACATACCCGAAGTTTCTTTGACAGTCATCCTTAAATACCCAGAATATATTATATAATATCGAGAATAACTGAACGAAATGACTGAAGCCTTTACTTCACCTATGATTTTTAATATCAAAATTATTTTCCCACTTATAATTAACGTCTGTGTTGCTTCTGCTTGGGCCTTTTCGACGTCTTCAGTAAGCTTTACAAATATAAGTAAAGTAAATAAAAACTCATATACATTCTACTTAGTCTCTAACGCTTTACATATCGCTTTATCTTACTCTTGGAAGTCACTGCTAGCCTATTTAATTTATATGAGATATACGGTTATTTAAAGCGTATCATTGTGTGTAGAAGTTCATAGAGATCTACAAGTAACATGAACCTATCTGTCA